TGCAGGTGCGGTGTCTATTAAGGTTGCCGGCCCTTTATTTGTTTATTTATTTATCTTTATTTATTTTTTTGAGACAGAGTCTCACTCTGGAGTGCAGTGGGGTGATCTTGGGTCACTGCGACCTGCACTTCCTGGGTTCAAGCAATTCTCCTACCTCAGCCTCCCAAGTAGCTGGGATTACAAGCCTGCGCTACCACACCTGGCTAATTTTTGTATTTTTGGTAGAGACAGGGTTTTGCCATGTTGGCCAGGCTGGTCTCGAACCCCTCACCTCAAGTGATTAGCTTCCCTCGGCCTCCCAAAGTGCCGGGATTACAGGCATGAGCCACGCTGCCTGGCCCCATTTTTAATTGGATTATTTTCTTTTATTGTTTAGTTTTAAGTGTTTGTATTAGTCCATTCTCATGCCATTAATGAAGACATATCTGAGCCTAGGTAATTTATAAAGAAAAGAGCTTTGATTGACTCACAGTTCAGCATGGCTGGGGAGGCCTCAGAAAACTTACAGGTATGGCAGAAGGGGAAGCAAACACATCCTTTTTCACATGGCAGCAGTGAGAGTGCAGAGTGAAGCAGGGGAAAGCCCCTCATAAAACCATCAGACTTTGTGAGAACTCCCTATCACAAGAACAGCATGAGGGTAACCGTCCCCATGATTAAATTACCTCCCTCCAGGTCCCTCCCATGACACGTGAGGATCATGGGAACTCCAATTCAAGATGAGATTTGGGTAGGGACACAGTCAAACTACCTCGGTGTTCCTTATATTTTAAAGATTTATATATACACACATGTATTTTTGATCAGACATATCTTTTACAAATATTTCTCCCCATCTATGACTTCATTCTCTTGACAGTGTTTTTTGAAGAGCAGGATTTTTTTTTTAATTGAGACAGAGTCTCCCTCTGTCGCCGAGGCTGGAGTGCAATGGTGTGATATCGGCTTACCGCAACCTCCACCTCCTAGGTTCAAGTGATTCTTCTGCCTCAGCCGCCCAAGTAGCTGGGACTGTAGGCATGTACCACCACACCCAGCTATCTTCTGTATTTTTAGTAGAGCTGGGGGTTTCACCATTGGCCAGGCTGGTTTCGAACTCCTGACGTCAAGTGATCCATCCAGCTCAGCCTCCCAAAGTGCTGGAATTACAGGCTTGAGCCACCACACCCAGCCAAAAAGCAAGAATTCTTCATCTTCATGAATTCCAGTTTATCAGTTCTTTCTGTCATGGATTGTGCCTTTGGTTTTGTATCTAAGAAGTCATCACCAAAAGCAAAGGTCATCTTGGCTTTTTCCTATGTTACCTTCAAGAAGTTTTATAGTTTTGTGTTTGACATTCAGGTGGATGATCCATTCTGAGTAAGCTTCTCTGCAGGGTGTGAGGGCTGCGTCTATGTTCATTTTTTTTTTTTTTTTTGCACATGGATGTCCAGCTGATCCACCTATTAATTATTTCACTATACCGCGCTGCCTTGATAGCTGCAGCTTCCTGTGCACTCGTCAATCCCTTAAGGTTCACTTCCTCATCCCCTACCGAACTGCAACCACTCCACTAGTGGCGTTCCAATGGCAAATCCCATGGATTCTCTCGAGTGTGCCTCTTGTTTGTGACTCCATTCTGTTGTGTGAGCTCATGTTGTGTCACCTTTGCATTGGGGTTTGTAGAGTTGGTGTTCATGTGCTGGCTTTGGGAGGGTGGCCAGACAGGAATGCAGGTTGAGGTCGAGTTCTTGTTACTTACAAGTGCACAGAGCTGCCTTGGGGACATGACACGTGTTTCAGACCCACAGTACCACAGTATTCTGAAGGGGTATTCTGTGATTCTCACTTCCTAGGCCTTTGGACATCTGTGGCAGAGCAAATGGTCAGTTGGAAAGCTCCACTAAGATGGACCAAGCCAGCATGGATGGAAGGGCTCAGTGGCACTGGGCCTGGGGGAAAGCAGAAAGGGGCGGGCAGCTTCCAGAACCTTCCTGGGGCCTGCCCGTCCTGGCCCTGCTGTAAGTGCTTTGCAGCCCTGGACTGGCTCTGACCTCCTCACAGCCCTGTGGGATAGTCTTAGCCCTGTTTTAGAGAGAGGACACCCATGCACAGAGAATGTTGTCACTTGCTCAAAGTCACAGCTTAGGAATTGGCAGTGCCAGGATTTGACCTGAGAGCCCATGCTGTTGGCCATGCTGCCTCCCTAACCCCTGCCCTCAGAGGGTCTGAAGAGGTTAGAAAGAAAGACAAGAAGGAAGTGTTGGGGAGTAAGTTGGGAAGCCCTCACCTTCCCCTCTTGTTCTTCAGGCCTTCTTACCTCTTCCCTACTAGTGGAGAAGGGCCCTGGGGCCCTGCCTGGGACTGGTTCCCACCATGGGCCCTGCATGGTGGCGGCTCCTGGAGGCCTCTGTGCCCGGGAAGCCACCTTCCCTGGAGGGCCTGTGGGCCAGAGAGGGGAGGATGTCGCGAGGGGTGGCCTGAGGAGCTCCACTTCTGGAATCCAAGACAGCAGGAGGCATCAGGTGATCTGGTTTTCATTTGAGAAGGGCTGAGTTGGTGTCCCCAGACCAGGACTGCCCCGGGCTGATGCCTCAGGGAATCCTCTCCAGCACACTAGCTGCACTTCCAACCCCAGAGCCCCCTTGGGGCGCCGTGTGAAAGTTTCTACTGTGAGTACCCAGGATGGTACAGCGCTTTCTCCTTGACAAGCCTGGGTTCTAGCAGCTGCGAGTTTAGCCTCTGTCCTGCGCAGGCCTTGGCTCCTAGGCCGTTCAGAAAGTTTCAAAGGAGGAAGTGATGCTACAATCTTTTTTTTAGTCCTAACTTCCCCATGTTTCCATTTCCTCCTTCCCTTGATGCAAAGGGCCAATGTTCCTGGCTTAGGGACCGTGACAAGGGAGGCTGCTACCTGGGCACCTTGGAAAGACACATCTAGGCAGCCATGCCAGGCAGAAGACTGGGCAGCTGCAGGTTTAAACCCTGGGCTTCCAGGCCCTAAAAGGGGAACTGGGCCCCCAGGGTGCTGTCCCATCACAAGAAATAACCCTGGATGCCAGTCACCCAGGGCCCTAGTGCCTTTTGTCAGGCAGGGGCAGGGAGGGGACGAGAAAATGGGAGTGAGGTCGGGCAGCAAGGCTGAACCTGGAGAGCCTGGGCGTGCAGCCCGCCCACTGGTCTGCCTTGTCCCTTCCGTGCAAGAGCCGGTGGAAGCTGAGGGTGGTGGAGGGGATCGCAAATAAGTTATCCGCCCCTGGGCGCCTGCCATCCTCCTGGTGCTCCATGGCTTCTCCAAGGACACACCCATCCCCAAACCAGCAAATCACTCCAGAGCCAAAACTGCTGCTCTTTCCTCCTCGAGGGGCACCCACCCACCCCACTCCCAAACAAAACTCCGAAAGAACTATTTTCTCCACCCCAGGTAAACCTCTTTTGGATTAAAGTAATTCCCACTGAAGGAACTCATTCTTTTCTGAACGATCTATAGGCTAATCTTCTCAGAGTGCATTTGCATTTCAAGTGGAGTGCTTGTACAGTTAGAAACCATCTTTAATTGGCAGAATGAAGGGGCACTTACAGGGGGGAGGGGAGAGGCGGACTCTCCCAGGCCCTCCTGGCCCCTCCCCATGCCCTCCTCTCTTCTCCTCCTCTGCACCCGCCCCTCAGTGAGGGGTGGAGCTGGGTGGATTTGGAGGCTGACTAAAGAAGCGCACTAGCTATTCTTTCTTTACTAATTAAAACTTTTTATGATGGACCTAGAGTTGCCAACTTCTAATTTTGTCAGTTTGTTTTATCACGGGTTTCCTAACACCATCACTTCACAGCACCAAAAGATGAAGGAAGAGGTCACTTCAGTCTTCTCAATGGAGTAAATTTAGCTTTACACAAACATGCCACAGGGTTGTTAGATTTTTCATTTTGCTACAGATTGGTGCAAACCTCACTGGGTGTCGGCATTTGAGTACCACAAACTGGATGGCCCTCGGAGCCCTGCCCAACTCTAAAAGGCCGCAGTTTTCAAATTCCATCGGCACACTGCATTAAAGATGCATCTCTAAATGTGAATCGTTGATGATGATGTTAATTTGTCATTGTTGCACATAACTTTCTGTGATGGAAATGGCTCCAGGAGACAGGACGGTAGAGGGAGACTGAAGAGCGGGGAATAAGGTTAGGAACAAATGAGGGGGCCGGGCGCGGTGGCTCAAGCCTGTAATCCCAGCACTTTGGGAGGCCGAGGCGGGTGGATCACGAGGTCGAGAGATCGAGACCATCCTGGTCAACATGGTGAAACCCCGTCTCTACTAAAAATACAAAAAATTAGCTGGGCATGGTGGCGCCTGCCTGTAATCCCAGCTACTCAGGAGGCTGAGGCAGGAGAATTGCCTGAACCCAGGAGGCGGAGGTGGCGGTGAGCCGAGATCGCGCCATTGCACTCCAGCCTGGGTAATAAGAGCGAAACTCCGTCCCAAAAAAAAAAAAAAAAAAGGAACAAATGAGGGGACAGAGAGGGAAGAACACCTGTCCCCCAGACCTGTACCCATCTTCCCAGGATGCTCGGTTAGATTCTTGGGCTGCAGGAGGCAGTTTCATATGCCTGTTCCAGAAATGTGTGTGTGTGTGCGTGTGCGTGTACGTGTGTGTGTGCGTGTGTGTGTGTATGTAAGCATGCAGTATGCTGGCACAGCACCTGACCTTTGTGTAAGCTCCCCCCACAAAGCCTCACCCCTTAAAATGCTTCCTGTGGCCTGGCCTTCTCTATGGCATGGTTCCCAACCCCCAAACAAAAGACATGAAGATGTCAGAATGGCAAATGGCAGATGTCTTAGAATGTGGGGGCCGGGCGGGGGGGCAATGAGAGATGCCAGCTCCAGGAGGACAAGGCCCTGGGCCCTCCAAAGGAGGGGCCATCTGTTTCCAGCCTGGGTTTGTTTCCTCACCGGCCACCCTGGCCCTGGCTCCCAGTTCTCCTGGGCCTTCCCAGGAGGCTTTTCTGACAGCTTTTCCCATTCTCATTCCAGGTGTGTGTGGCTGCTGCGGTGCCCTGCGCCCCAGGTACAAAAGGCTGGTTGACAACATCTTCCCTGAGGATCCTGAGGTGAGTCACATCTCTGGCAGGCATCGTGACTCTCAGCGTCTAGGTAGGGCCTCTGACGGGTGGAGTGGCAGCTTGGAAGCCAGGCCTCCTGCCAGGTGGGGGAGGCAGGGCCTCTCAAGGCCCTTGGGCACTGAGCCTTCCCAGGGAAACTGGCACCTGGGCCACAGCCATGGGCAGTGGTGAGAGGCCGCTAAGGACATGAAGGAAGAGGGCGTCTGGCTCTGCAGAAGGCAGCTGGCAGTTAGTCTTGGCATGCTTGTGGCCGTCACTGTCCAACCGAGACATCTCCTGCGTGTCTCTTTGCGTGATTGCCCCGTGAGCCGCTAACTCTTTGAGTGGTCGTAGCTCTGTGCTGGTCAGTATGAAGACACCCCTGTTTTGGGTTGGGCTCAGGAGCCCAGGTCTTTCCCCCTGGCTGCCACCCTCTGGTGTCTGCAGGCACACACATGGAAGGCCTGGCCTCCAAGCTGCCTCTCCACCCGTCAGGCTGCTTTGTGGGTTGTGGTCTGGGAAACATTGGGATCTGAGGTACTTGACTTGCTCTCTGGGAACCAAGGGCCTTTCTGGATGACAGCATCCTCTGGAGAGTTCCCTAAGAGCTGCAGAGCTGCCTTTGTCCTGTGCGTATCTTGGTGCCGACTATCCAACATGCTTTAATTTTGGGTGGCTTTCAATGACGCTATGTCATTCATTCCTACACACTCACACACACATGGTATGTATATACATACCCATACACGCATACATGTATACATTCATGTATATATATCCACGTACATGCACACACATATATACATTTGTATCACTTACTATTCTTTTTTTGTTTTCCCTGAGATGGAGTCTTGCTCTGTCACCCAGGCTGGAGTGCAGTGGCATGATCTCGACGCACTGCAACCTCCACTTCCCGGGTTCAAGCAATTCTCCTACCTCAGCCCATAGCTGGGATTACAGGCGCCTGCCACCATGCCTGGCTAATTTTTGTATTTTTAGTACTGACGGGGGTTTCACCATGTTGGCCAGGCTGGTCTCAAACTCGTGTTCCACCTGCCTCAGCCTCTTAAGGTGCTGGGATTATAGGTGTGAGCCACAGTGCCTGGCCCACTTACTATTCTTATTTATAGCTTGCATATACTTTGGGCTAGACCATGGGTTCCTGGGAGTCAGGAACTATGTTTTAATCATCTGCCTGTCCCTGAAACTCACATGTGGTCTGGCACATCCATAAAGGGGACTCTGTAAATGTCAATTCAATTGAATTATTATTTTTCTCTAGACTTGAACTCATCTAGCCCTGGTGTGGCCACAGTGAGCACAAATCATTTTCTCCCACAGGATGGTCTGGTGAAGACAAACATGGAGAAGCTGACCTTCTATGCCCTCTCAGCTCCAGAAAAACTTGATCGTATTGGCGCCTATCTCTCTGAGAGGCTCATCCGTGACGTGGGTCGTCATCGATATGGGTAAGTGGTTTGTAAAGGAGGGAGAGAGACTGTCAGGAACTATATTGTTAGGTTAAACATAGTCCTTTTAGAAATGACGGCCAGGTAGAGTGGCCCATGCCTGTAATCCGAACACTTTTGGGAGGTCAAGGTGGGAGGATCGGATCACTTGAGGCCAAAAGTTCAAGACTATCCTAAACAACATAGTGAGACTCCATCTCTACAAAAAAATTTTAAAAATTAGCCGGATGTGGTGGTACACACCTATAGTGCCAGAGCAAGACTTTATCTCAAAAAAAAGAAAAAAAAGAGAAAATGATGGTAGACTAGATTATCGAATAGACCAAGAAAATTGGGGCCTGGGACTAAGAAGTATATCCCATGCGATCTTCCAAAGGCAGGGCTGACCGTGATGCTGCTGCCAAGGTTTGGGAAGAAGGACTGTTGGCTTCCTACAAGCACCTCGTCCAGCATCCATTCTCTCATGTTTCCATACAAAAGCCCTCATACAGTCTGGGGCTTTAAAAAAAATTAAGGCTATGATTGCACCGCCATCCACATCCAACCTGTCCTGCCTTATCCCACTTACTGCCTTGAAAATTAAGGAGGAGTCATCTACATTCTAGTAAGAAGGCAGAGTTAAGGGCAATTTGTCCATTAAAAATACACTTAGGTGAAATATTTATCAATCTTCTGAAAGAGAAGGACTTTCTATGTTTAAAGAGAGAAGAAATCTTAAAGCAAATGACTGATCAATAGACTTAACTGTTGAAAAATTTAAATATTTTTATGTCAATAAAGAAACACTCAGACCAGGTATGGTGGCTTACGCCTACAATCCCAGCACTTTGGGAGGCCAAGAGGGGAAGATCGCTTGAGCCCAGGAATTCAAAACCAGCCTGGGCAATGTACTGCCCATCTCTACAAAAAATTTTTTTAAAAATTAGCTGGGCGTGGTGGTATGCACCTATAGTCCCAGCTACTCAGAAGGATGAGGTGGGAGGATGGTTTGAGCGCAGGAGGTCAAGGCTGCAGTGAGCTATGTTTGTGCCACTGCACTCCAGCCTGGGCAACAGACTCTCTCAAAAACAAAAAGAAAAAAGAACACTCAAAATATAAGAGACAAACAACAAAAAAAGTATATTAAAAAATTAAGACAAAGGACCAGACACAGTGGCTCACACCTGTAATCAATCCCAGCACTTCGGAAGGTCAAGGCGGGTAGATCACCTGAGGTCAGGAGTTTGAGATCAGCCTGAACAACAATGGTGAAACCCTGTCTCTACTAAAAATACAAAAATTAGCCAGGTATGGTGGCATGCACCTAGTCCCAGCTGCTTGGGAGGCTAAGGCAGGAGAGAGTTGATTGAACCCATGAGGCAGAGGTTGCAGTGAGCTGAGATTGTGCCACTGCACTCCAGCCTGGGTGACAGAGTGAGACTCTGTCTCAAATAAATAAATAAATAAATAAATAAAAATTAAGACAAAGGATTCAAATTTATATATTAGTAGCTCATACCAAATAGTGGGTGGAATGGGGAAAATGAGACACTAAGAGATTCGAGGCAAGGACCACAAACAGGAGACTTCAGGAGAGGAGAGAGAGCTTGCCACACACATGGGCACGCAACAGACTTGTGATCACAGATGCATACTGAAATACTAAGACGCTAACTTATCAAATTCATCACAAAGAAAACAGAATTTCCAGTATGACCAATAGATGGCAAAACGGGAGGCATTTTCATTCTTTTCTAGGAAGAGTGCAATTGGTTGAAACTCTCTAGAAAGTAATTTTGAAATAATGTGTCCAGAGCTTTAAAAACATTTATATCATTTGACTCAGTAATCTCCATTTCTGTTTGTCTATCCCAAAGAATCTTTTTTTTTTTTTTTTTGAGATAGGGTCTTGCTCTGTCACCCAGACTAGAGTGCAATGGCATGATCTTGGCTCACTGAAACCTCAGCCTCCTGGGCTCAAGCCATCCTCCCACCTCAGCCTCCCAAGTAGCTGGGACTATAGGCACATGCTACCATTTCTGGCTCATTTTTGTATTTTTTGTAGGGATGGTGTTTTGCCATGTTGCCCAGGCTCGTCTAGAATTCCTGGACTCAAGCAGTCCTCCCACTTGGGCCTCCCAAAGTGTTGGGATTATAGGTGTGAGCCACTGCGCCATGCCCCAAGGAATCAATCATAAATACAGTCTACCTTCACATACAGAGATGTTCATTATCATATTATTTATAATAATAAAAAAGTGGGAATAACTTAAATGTCCAGCCAGAGAATAGTTTAGTGAATTATGGTGTATGTCATTTGATAAAATGTTATCTAGTCAATAAAAATGGTGTTTATAAAGATACTTTCCGTATAATTTAGAAAATGCTTGAAGTAAATGAAAACCAAAATCCATAATTATATAGACAGTATTTGCAATCAAGTTAAAAAATAAACAGCAACAACAAATCTCAACGGGTAGAAAATATAGTAAAAACAAACATACTGGCCAGGCACAGTGGCTCATTACCGTAGTCCCAGCACTTTGGGAGGCCAAGGCAGGTGGATCACTTGAGATCAGGAGTTCAAGACCAACCTGGTCAACATGGTGAAACCTTGTCTCTATCAAAAAGACAAAAATTAGCTGGGTGTGATGGCATGTACCTGTAGTCTCAGCTACTTGGGAGGCTAAGGTGGGATAATTGCTTGAACCCCAGAAGGCCAAGGTTGCAGCGAGCCAAGATCATGCCACTACACTCCAGCCTAGGTGACAGAGCAAGACCCTGTCTCAAAAACAACAACAACAACAACAACAAAATAAATGAACATATCAATATGTTAGGAGTGCTCATTTTATGAGCAGTGTGGCTGGGGTTTTTTGGTTTTGCTTTGAATCTATTTTTTCTATGTTTTTCCTAAATATTCTTTATGTGGATGTGTTACTTCCACAATAAAAAACATGAACTACAGGGCATATTGTGTTTGCTGCCCAACCATCATGCCACGATTCAGAGACCGAATGTCAGGAGAACGCTCAGATATTCCTGGTGGTGTTGCTCATGGGGCTGAGGTTGGGTGGATTCATTCAGGCCACTGTTCTCAGGCCTGTTGGTTCCATTCTCCACGGAGTCTTTTATAGTTGTCCTCTAATCTTCCCTTTCTCCTGATCCAGGCTCTTCTCTTTTTGTTCAGATGATGGCAGTAGCCTTGGACATGGTCTCCCTGTTCCCCATCTTTCCTGCTCTGGTCCTTCTCGGTTAATACTGCTATGTATGATCTTCAACACACAGACACCAAGCTGTACATTTTTAGCTCCTTGAGAAAAATATCCGGCATCCTCAGCTTGACTTCTAGGGTCCTACACAACCTGCCTGTAACCCAGGCAAGCCCACCACCCCTACCTCACCTGCCGTAGACCCACTCCACATGGACTGGCCGACCCCCCTGCTGGCTCTGTGGGTCTTTCTGGTGCTCTCTCACTTTGACCTCTGTTGGGCCTCCCCCTACAATTGTCCACCAGCCCCACCACCATCCAAGGCCCCTTCCTCCTGGAAGAAGAAGACAGAGCCTGTCTTGAACTACAATGAAATGTGCACGATGCTGACAGGGTGTAGAGGTCTAGCAAGCACAGGCCTCACCAGCAAATCTTAAATCAAGCTACCCCTGGTGTAAAAAGCAGGACCCAAACCAATATGTTTCTGTGATCGTTCTATGTAATAAAATGAGGCTACATCCTAAATAAGAGTGAATCTGCCATGCATGCTGATTATATTAGAGGCCTTGACATATTGTATATTATACTCAAGCAAGTCAAAATGACTTTGTCCTAGGTTGAACCTAAAACCAACATGCTAGCTCTAACATTAAACATTTAATACTAATTCCGCTGGCCCTCTCTGCGATGATGGCTCTCTCAGTAAAAAATGTCCTAGAGCCAGCCGAGCCACGTAGAATCATTCTGCTGCCCTTACAACTGCAATTCAAATTTAGTATCGTTCTGTTAAAAATAGCCATTGCAGCCTCTAAGTATTTAAAACCTGACTGCCTCACTGAGGGCTTTGTTCATAAACATTTGGAGAAGAAAAATCTGAGATCTGATCTCTTATTCTGTCTCTCTTTGCCCTCCCTGTCTTTCCATACCCAATGCCACATATGTCATCATTACCTTTCTTGTCACTGAAGGCAGCTTTGGAAGAGTAAAATATTCTCCTGTAGACAGGGTGAGAGGCTGTGTCTCCCTGCCATGATGCAGGTGTCTGTATTTGGGGTTTGACCATATGGACATGAACTTTGGATGCCGGACCCAGGGGCAGAACCACCCTCATCTGCCCCACCGCCTCCCCACATTGTCACCCCATTCCAGTTGTGTGTGGACTCTGGCTCATAGGTGTTTAGCATGGAGACAGTATGGGCAGCCAGATGTGGGCAGAGAGAGGATGAGACGTGAATTTCAAGGCATTGTTCATGGGCATGGAATACGATGGGCAGTGGTGTGCAGAGTGGCAGAAACCGAGCAGTCCTTCTATTTTCCCTTCTCTTCACATTTCCCTTCCAGTTCAGCTCCAGTGCCAGCACGTTGTCTAGAAACTAGAAGACAGCAGGGGAGGGAACAGCAGTGCTGGGAAAGACTCTCTCAGTTGACAGTGATCCCTGAGCACTGACAGGTGCAGAATGCCATGTAAGACAACATCAGGATCTCCAGTGCCTAGAGCTCTCACCCAGCCTGGGACCAACCCCTGGCAGATGGAGATGTCCATGCCAGAGGATTGTGCTTCTCTCATCTGAGGACCCTGGCCCCGGAGCTGACCCAGTGGCGCTCCTAAGAGATACACATTCACCAGAAGGATCGTGAACCTGGTCAGAGGATGGCTGACCTTGAGATAGGGATACCGCAGACCCCTACTAGATGAAGAGGGTCACAAGTCCCTACTTGTGGACTCCTAAAACCCAGAAGGTTCTGTCTAGGGATGGGCTGACCAAATGCATTCAAATCGCCTGGAACAAGAGGTTCTTGGTCCAGGCC